ACTGTTGGAGATCCCAGCATTATATAAATGAAACCATAAGGACTGCCACAGATGTACTCCACAAAAGCCGATCAAAACCACTTGGTTGTGTACCTTTTATATGCTTTCAGCTTTCATTTGTACTTTAAGAGATAATTAAGTAGGTGAAAGATTCGACAGACCACAAGTTGGAGAAAAATCTAATGAGGGGGCTAAGAGATGAGGGAAATGACAGGTGTGGTTACAGTATACCTATTTTGCAAGCAGGTGGGAGTTTTGGCCACAAAAGAATAAGTGGTAAACATGGTGTGCCAAACCAGCAAACACACACGAGCATGTTTAACTCTACAGTACTACCATATGTAATTCCATTGATATGGCTCTATTCCTAAATGTTTGAGAGAGCCAGGATCATATGAGTGCATAGGCTGCATACTACAGTAATTGTTTAAAAAAAGAATGTAAGGTATTGTCTCTGCAGAAGTGGGAGGATTTTATGGGAGAACTACATATTATACACATGAACCAAGACTCTTTAGTTCCAGATAGGTGATGTCATTAGATATTCACACTTACAATTATGAATTTTTTTTAATACTTTTATTAAAATTAAAATTTGTTTTTTCCTCAATAATGTATTTGTATTAACTTTGGAAGGAGAAAATAGATTTTTTTCCAGTAAAAAATACTTTTCATCTACATTAAATCTGAATTTCAAAGTAGAATTCAGTCTACATTTTCATGGTTCTGATCCTTAATGTTGTTGATTGTTGGATATAAAAATACTAATATGCTACTATTACCACCATTTTATGCATCAGTAGTGTCTTCCTCCTAAGAATCTCAAAGCTCAGAACACTCCCTAACATCTCTGCACAAAAGGCATAAATATTTAATTTAAACACACACAGCCTTAAGGGGAGCTTTCCCATGTGAAAAATTCATAATACGGAGCACATACAAGACTAAGAGTTAGAAAATGCACTCTATGGAATAATCGTATAGTGGCTGAGAGGTTGGAGTGGATATTTAACAGATCTTTTCCAGATCTAATTTCTGGAAATTTATATATATATATATACGGCCAGGAATCCTGCTTCTGATCCCACACAAAGTTAACACCAGTGTAATACTATTGACTTCAATGGAATTATTTTTGATGTGTACCAGAGTAAGAGAGAGCAGAATCAGGCCCTATGCATCTAAAGTGGAAAAATAAGTGATTTTAATAGGAGGGAGGAACCCTTCCATTTTTTGTAAAGCACAACTGATTGTGAAGTAACACTAATGCCATTTAGTCCAGCTGTAGCAACCAGGTGAATTAAGTATTTCTCTTTCCACTTAGCTCTAATTTTAATTTCAATGGAGCTGTCCCCATATGTTATGCTACTATAAAATAATTTTAAAATTTACAGTGGAATAATGTTAAGTATCTGTCTGAAACTGACAAATTTAAGGAAATTTAGAGTTAAGGCTGCCAACTCTCAATAATTCACTGTTACTGCAGAATATAAAGCAGGCAAAACCCACAATACCAGGCAATTTATAGAGCACCAGTTTACAGAGAGAATCAGAAAATGCTTTACATGTATTGCAGGATAAGCAGGGTTTTATGGACAGATTTAAAGGGAGAGAGTGTGAGTGACTCAGTAGTTTGGGCAGCAGAAGACAGTACAAAACAGATGGGAAGGTACATAGGCGGTAGTGCCCCCGACAGTGTTATGCTGTTTGAAGGGGACAGAGATTCAACTACATAGACTGGTATAATATGATGAGATTATCGGTAATGGATGGGGGAATATCATGGGGTGAGCCTCTCCTGCACACTCACTTATGGCTCCCCCATGGTGCCTGCAAGTGTGTTGCACTTAGCATTCCCTGGGTCCTTGCAGACAATTAACCAGACCAGATTAATTCAGCCCCCCTTTGTGGAGTCTTGTTTATGTACTCTCTGTAAAGGGCCTCTCGCTTATTTAGTAGCGCAAGTTTACACCAAATATTGATCTGGCCTGGCCAGTTTCCTTCCCAAGCACCTGTCATCCTCCTGGAAGTAGGCTGTGCTCTGAACAATCCCTCTGTCTCTCTTCTGAAGACTGAAGCCCTCTTCCTTCCCTCCCTAGAGCTGCAGAGCCTCAGACAGCTTCTTCTCCACTCACTCCTTCTACCTTTAGGCTGAGAGGGTTTACAGACAGACTTTCCACTATTGTTGCCGTCTTTCCTGCTATGAGGAAAAAGACCCCACAAGTTCATTCCTTGTTGGTCTAATGAGAAAGTAACTATCTACTCTGCAAGATTCCTTATCTCAAGTCTTTAAAGCAGGGATGGGAACCCTCAGGCACAGGGACTGGATGTGGTCCCCTGCTCGCCTGTATCTGGCCCTGAGGCATTGGAGAGCCTGCACTCGTGCCACAAAATCAACTAGCCTAAGCCCCCCCCCTAGGCTCTGGTGAGCAAGGGGAATGTGGGAAGTGTCTTTCGCCTTCTCAGTCAGGGGCCATGTCAATGAGGGTTTGGGGTTTTTTGCCTTTTTTCCTCTCTCACTTGTGTGTGGCCCCCTACTGATTTTTCTATAGGTTAGTGGCTTCTGACCCCCCAAAATATTCCCCATCTCTGCTTTAGAGGAACAGTGATGGGAGTTTCTGCTAAACATTTTCTATCTCAGGACCACTTTCTCTTTATCCATACCTCTTAGGTCTTTCTCTGTATCAGCTCTTTCCAAGTCTTAATGGCCATGCCATGTGGCCCTAGCACCATTACTTTTACAAGGGATATAACATGAAAAAGGAAGGATGACGGAGGGCAAATTTGAATAACAGGACAATTCTGAATTTGATTCAACATTAAGAGTGCAATGTCAAAGGGTCATAAACAAAATGAACACATTAAATGGAATAAAACTGGCTGAAAGTTTTCAAAACGTAACTGTGAATGGGGAAACATCAATGAATAGGTCTGTATCTAATGCAGGCCCCACAAGTATTAGTTCTTGGACACATCTTATTTAATCAACAGCTTAGAAGAAAACATACAATCATTACTGATAAATCTGTAGATGAGAGAAGATTGGGGGAGTGGTAAATGATACAGAGAACAAGTCACTGACACAGAGCAATCTGGATGACTTGGTGAGTTGCACGTTATTTGCTTGTCTATTTCAATGTGGCCGAATGCAAGGTCACACATCTAGGAATAAAGAATGAAGGGGGACTCTATCATGGAAGGGATTGACTCTGATAAAGGTTTTGGTTCAAGGTAAATAATCAACTGATAGTGAGCTGTGAGTGAGATACTGTGGCCAAAAAAAGCTAATGTGGTTCTTGGATAAATGGGGAAATATTGAGAAGTAAGGAGGTTATGTTCCTCTATATCTGATACTGGTGTGACTGCTTTTTGAATAACGTGTCCATTTTTGGTGTTCACATTTGAAGAAGAATGTTGAAAAATTGGAGAGGGTTCAGAGAATAGCCATGAATAAAGTACTGGAAAGCATACTTTAGCGAAAGACTCAAGAATCCTTTTAGGTTAACAAAAATAAGTTTAAGGGGTGACATGATCACTGTATGTAAATACGCATATGAAGAACTGAACAGAGGAGATAACAGAGGACTCTTCAATGTACTAGAGAAAATTATGACATGCTCCAATGGCTGCAAGTTGAAGTTAGATATATTCAGAATTGAAATAAGATGCATATTTTTTAACACTGAGGGTAATTAATGACTGGAAGAAGCTAATCTTCAAGCCTTAGTTGGGTTGTGGTGGTTTCTCTTAGAACCCTTAGAAAAATATACAATCTTGATTTAAAAGATATATTCTAGTTTAATCAGCCACAGGGCTAATCATAAATTGTCCTATGGCCTATATTACACAGAACAGATTTTTGCAATGGTCCCTGGTAGCCTTTAAAAAAAAAATATTGATGAATCTATGAATCCTTAGACTGAAACAAGATTGCAATGGCTAATAATACTTAACTGCAAATACGCTGTTAAAACAGAGTGAAATATAGCAAGAGAGAGGTTACTTTAAGTGTATATTGTCATGTTTTTATATTTAACGTTTACCTCTGGCCTAGAGATCCTCAGCATGCTTTCTACTGGCTAGCTCAGCACCATCTCAAAACTATGTGCCACAATTTTCTGTTATAATTGTGTGACTCAGTTAAAATTAACGAACTAATTTACTTTCTCAGAGCATGTCTCAATGTATAACTTTCTATTATCTGAATAATTTTTCTTATATTACAGGTTGAACCTCTCTGCTCTGACACCCTTGAGACCTGACAAGTGACAAATCTGAGAATTTGCAGAACCATGAGAGGTCAATATTGCATAGCAGTGTTACCAGCACTTTCATGGCTTACTGGGCTCTTAGATTATATTTAGGGGTAAATTAGAGCTATATAACAACATAGAACACTGAGCGCCAGGACTGGTAGCTATACACAAACTTTATGGGACCATGGGAAACTTGGCCACACGCATGGTAAGTGGACATCCGGCTAAAAAAACATGGCAGACCACAGATATTGGCGGACTAGAGAGTGCTGGACTAAAGAGGTTCAAACTCTATTGATATTATGATAACTTGTCAATATATATTCTGTAAGTCATACATGAATGTTATGACAGAATTTAATTTATATTTATACATCTGTTATCAATCTGACAAAGACTACAGTTTCTCCTAAGGCATGCATATAGCGAAGAGTTATTTCACTCAAAAAGTCTATTATAAGGAAATGAAGTTCTTATTGAAAACATGGATTTTTTTCAAAACATGTTCTAGTACTATGATGATGGAGACCATATAAAGGAAGGAGACAGAGACCTTACAATATAAAGGTCAGACCCTGCAGCTACTCAATCCAACAGAGGAGACTATTAACATGAGGAAGGGTTATAGCATTGGGCTTTTATGATAGAAAAGGCAAACTCACATAAAGCCAAGATATGGGATAGCTGTTCAAGAAACTGAACTGCATAAGAACTAAAAAGTAAATAAAGGGGCATATACAGTACCTCCATCATTATCCATATTATCTCCACACACCATTTCCATGACAATGTTACATCCTGTGCCACTCCATCCCACTTGACACACACAGTGCCATCCATTCTGATCAAGAGTGCATCTCCCATTTCCATAACACAGACCTGGGCAGCCATCTAGAAAAGAAAATGCAAAGAACAAAGCTTCATGCAGGAGTTTCTTTCCTTTTGTTATTTAACAATTTATAATTTCAAAATATCTTTAGTTATAACAATATTTGCTACTTTTACATGATGTCACAGTTGGTCTACTTCTGACTCCATTCACATTCTTGGCCAAATACTGAGCTTTGCTTGTTTAGAAAAAGCATGTCTAAGTTATAAATGCTCATTTTTTTGTGCCTAAGATCTTGTGGACATAAAAACTCAGATGCGACGAGGAGTCCTGTGGCACCTTATAGACTAACTGAAGTGTAGGAGCATAAGCTTTCGTGGGCAAAGACCCACTTTGTCAGATGCATGTAGTGGAAATTTCCAGAGGCAGGAATAAATATGCAGGCCAGGATCAGGCTGGAGATGACCAGGTGGATCCAATCAAGGAGGATGAGGCCCACTTCTAGCAGCTGATCTGGAGGTGTGAATTCCAAGAGAGCAGAAGCTGCTTTTGTAGTTAGCAAGCCATTCACAGTCTTTGTTTAATCCAGAGTTGATTGTGTCAAACTTAAAGATGAACTGTAGCTCAGCAGTTTCTCTTTGAAGTCTGGTCCTGAAGTTTTTTTGCTGCAGGATGGCTTCTGACGAAGTGGGTCTTTGCCCACGAAAGCTTATGCTCCTACACTTCAGTTAGTCTATAAGGTGCCACAGGACTCCTCGTCGCTTTTGCAGATTCAGACTAACACGGCTACCCCTCTGATACTAAAAACTCAGATGTGAGTGCACTAATAGTATGTGCACACACAAACTGTCTAATTGGAAATCCAACTGCCTACTTTGCATAAACAAATAACTGCTATCTTTGTTTTCATACCTATTTGTGTATCTGATATCAAGCATGTGTTCATGACAGTTTTTATGTGAAAGTTTGACCCAAAATATGAGTTTACAAAATGTAGGTAAATAATTTTAGGTGAGCAAATCTGGAAGCATCCGCTGAATATGTAATTCCAGATATGTGTGGAAGGGAAGCCTGTTTTGATTCATTCTGAAGGATGTCCCTAGACAAGGAAAATGGAACTTTTCATTCTAATGCTCTCTACTTCCTTACAACACTGTATTCAGTTCAAATCAGTCAATCACTTGCCCTTTGGATGTAGGAAATGTTTGGGTTTCTGTCTGTATATTACGAAACTGGATTTAAACTGGAGCAATTGCATCATCCCCAAGGCTTGTAAATTCTGAAACAATTGTAATTTTGGCATTTTAAACTAAGTTCCTTGCTCTGTGTGACAGATAGATAATCTCTTGGATGTGTCCACTTATGTCCATCTGTTTGTATACTGTAGTTTGGTGCCAGTACAGATTTTTGTCAGATCTTTACCTTACCACACAGAAGGACAAAGGACAATAGATGGTGCTCAGCAATCAGTTTAACACTACAAGTGGTATTGCTTTCTAAACAAATACAGTACTTTCTCTTTTGCCAGAATGGACTCTCAGGAATTCAATGCTTCCCTATTTTTGAAAATATGCGCTGACACGTCTGTGTTATCAAGGGAAAAGATCTGATTCAGAGAGGAAAGGAAGACTCAATCTGCAGGGGTTTCTGGAAGCTATAAAAGGAAATATTGCAAAAGGTGCTTCAAACTGCCAGCAACAGAGACAGAGACTATATACCACTGGTCCACCTAGAAAGACAAAATGGATGAGGTAATATTTTCTATTGGTCAACTTCTGTACTGGTCCATCTAGTCCAGTAGTCTCATTCAGAGTGGCCAATAGCTGTGCTTCAGAGAAAGGTGCATTTTGTAACAGCCTGCACTCCAAGTTCCTGTGGAAATTAAAGGGGCTGTTTTCCTTTTTTTGATTGATTGGCAGCTGAGTTAATTTATTATTATATCTTATTATTGTATTTTGTTGCTGTGTGATTGCCCTTTATGAACTTAAGTCTAATTAATTCTCAGGTAGTGTAGGGCTTTTTGTATGGATATTTTAAATTGTTATTTAATTCTAAAGAGATAAAATGATAAATACATAAATAAATGCCTAATTCTTTTTGGAATCCTGCATGGCCTGATATCTCTGCTGATAGCCATCTCCCCTGGGTGATTTCTTACACAACAATGTGGCTAGACCTGAGAGAGAGATTGTTGTCAAAACCATGGAAGACACAGACATGTAGAGCCAGAGACCAGCTATCGGCCCTGCAGAGCAAATTCATGTCAAAGGATACATACAGGGTACAAATTAAAACAGAATTTAGCTCTTTGGGTCTGGAATGGTTTGATGAAGTATATCATCTCTAGCCTGGATAACATTTTCTGCCAAAGGACAAACACACACATTACTCAAAACAGCAGACAATCTGTGGGTGGAACAAATATGTACCAATCCTTCTTACATTTCAAAACCTCACACATTCCTGTACAATGCCATGTTAAAAAACATGTATATTGTTTTCCATTGCCCCCCACCTCCAAAGTCTTAGAGGAGCATATTTTTTTCACAGATGAAACCTATTCTCATTGCAGATGATAAAAATATGGAAATTTTCTTCTAATAGAAGGAAGGATCGACACAAATTATTCTGGTAATAGCAAATCCTCAGTGCTGTCATCATTCTGTGAATGAAAACTATGAGCAGAAATCTGACTTGCCTCACGTAGCATATTACATATATATGGAAATCGGTAACCAAATGCAAAAGCAACATTCCAGTCATGATTACTTCAGACATCTCTGCTTCTGATGAATTATTAGGACAATGTAAAGAGCTAAGAATGTAGAATGTACTGATATTTTATTAGACAAACTACACTTCTCTGTAAATATATACCTACCTATCCAGTCATCCATTTGATCTATCCTGGATAAATATTGCATCTTAACAACAGAAAAAGTGGGAGGTTCAAAAGGGAACAAGTCACACAAATGCCCTCATTCTCAACACTTTTGTATCCTTTCATTATTCCTTTGCAATGCTTATATAAAAATCTTACCTCGCACAGCATCTAAGTAGTGAGCTTAAAAAGAAAAAAACAAACAAAAAAAAAACTGTGATAGAGTGAATTACTGCACCAGAACGAAAACTACAGAAGCCATTTGCTAATTGTTTCCCATACTTTGGTTAAGATAGAATGCCTCTCTCTTACTGCAATCAGGTTTCTTCTTACTACTCTGAATAAAACAAATTGCTGATTTTTCTTATCCAGGAAGTCAGAAAGGACTCATAGCAATAAACAATAATTGCAGCTACATGTGTGTTCTTCAGTCACTGGTTTTTAACATCATGAGCACTACCATGTGCAATGCAAGCTGTGCCTACTACTTAATAACAATAAAGAATTTTCCTTTTATTTTGATCAATTTTCTACTTTATAAGCTGAAGTTATAAGGTAACTGAATAACTGATTATAGAATTCTGCCTTTTAATTACATGAGGAAGAGCCAATTTTTCAAAAGACAGAAAAGAAAAAAAGAGACACTGGATTTGCAAAGCATGAAAGTTTGGACTGTCTACCTCTCAAAATTAGGTATCCTGGTCTCTTATATGTAATTAAAATGTTTAAGACTAAGAATACTCTGCAAAAATAGTAATGACATTTTGGCAAGAAACACTATTAAGCTTTTTAAAAATGTGGCACAAAATTTATTAAAATATAACAATTAACATTTGGAAAGCTGAGCAATAACTTCTGAAAGATTCATAAGTTTTAACTTATTAGCAATATTGTAAAAGTCAGCTGCTGTAAAACCATCTCTTGTGACAAACAAAATATTTAAATCCTCTGGTGCGAAGGCAGCAGGTTCAGAATTATTTAAGCTGCCTGCTAGTTTCAATCCTTCACAACTTTTAATTAACAATTTCAAGTAATTTTTTGCAGTTCTCAGTGCCTATAGGAACATAGCTCAGAATGTAACCTATATATCTTTACTTTGATCATTTCAGACTATTATCCCAGTATTGCTGCATGTAAAGCAAAACCTGCACTGACCACAATCTATAGGAGAAATACAAATGTGGTATGTTGGCTAATCCATCAAAGTCAGTGGAGAGTCATCTCTGTACACCAGACCTGAAGTTGACTTTCTAATTTTTCCAAGAGAGCTTTAAATTGATGGTGGCAGCAGCAGATCTTCCTATTAGCTAGTAAGCCTTTTAAAAATATATAAAAATCTTACCAATGGTGCAATGATCCCCTTCCCATCCTGGGCTGCATTCACACTTCCCATCTTTACACTGGCCATGTTCAGCACAGTGAGAGTGGCATGTACGTTCCTCACAAGTTGGTCCTACCCAACCTTCTTCACATTGGCATATTCCTCTCGAACAAACCCCATGGCTACCACAATCCAGAGTGCATAATTCTACATGGAATTCAAAGAATATACACTTTTAGATGGTAATTTCCTGTTTTGTTACAGACTATGAATTGATATAACATACATACACTAATCAGCAAGACTGACTGAATGCAGGACTTTTATCATGAAACAGAGGCTGAAACCAAATGAACATTCCTTCTTTATCAGCAGGTAAATACTAAGCCTTAGATTTCATTGGGCCAGCCACTAATTGTACATGTAGAGCCTTTTTGTTCCAAAGCCCAGTGAAGCCAATAGTAAGACTTCCATTTACTTTTGGTGCATTTTGGTTCAGGTCCTGACTCAACCAATGCATCATACAACCATTCCTAATTCTGATAGGTATTTGCAGGTATTTGTAGGGCAGTTTTCATTTCATAGAATCCTAGAATCCTAGGACTGAAAGGGACCTCAGTAGGTCATTGAGTCCTGCCCCCTGCCCAAAGCAGGGCCAACTCTAACTAAACCCTCCCAGCTAGGATTTTGTCAAGCATGGTCTTAAAAACTTCTATGGATAGAGAATCCACAACCTCCCTATGTAACTCATTCCAGTACCTCACCACCCTCCCAGCAAAGTAGTTTTTCCTAATATCTAACCTACACCTCCCCCACTTTAATGTGAGACTATTGCTCCTTATTTTGCCATCAGTGGCTACTGAGAACAGCCTCTCTCCATCTTCTTTGGAACATCCCTTCAGAAAATTGAAGGCTGCTATCAAATCCTCCCTCATTCTTCTCTTCTGCAGACCGAATAAGCCCAAATCCCTCAGCCTCACCTCGTAGGTCATGTGTTCCAGCCCCCTAATCATTTTGGTTGCCCTCCACTGGACCCTCTCCAAAGCATCCACATCCTCCTTTCTATAGTGGAGGGTGGGGAAGAGGCAGAACCGGACACAACTATTAAACCATTCTGAGTCCAGAGTCCAGGTGGACTGAGATAAAAGACAAAAAGTGTGATAAATCTCTTACAGCAAAGTGATCACTAAGCCCTGGTCTACACTAGAGAGTTATTTCAAAATAAGCGGAACGTCCACACTACCAAGCCCATTATTTTGAAATAAGGGGCTGGTTATTTCAAAATAACTTCTGTTCTCCATGAGGAATAATGCTTATTTCAAAAAAGCTATTTCAGGAGTGGACAGTTATAGTGGATGCTCCACTGCTGCTATTTCGAAATAACCACTCCCCAGAGTCATTAAAAGTGATTACTCTTCAGTGCTTCCTTGGGCTCTAAGTCAAGGTAGTGCATCTACATTAAGGGAGCCTGCCTTGGACTAATTTTGAGGCTTCCCTGTAGTGTGGACATACTATTTCGAAATAGTTATTTCAGGAGTTGTTATTTCAAAATAATTTTCTAGTGTAGACGTGCCCTAAAGTATTAATCAGTATGTACTGATTTAGTGGCCTTCACTTGTGGGGAAAAAAAGCTAATGAGCTAAAACACAGAAAGAAATAACATATATCAAACAGCAAGCAACCCACAACCCCAGTAAAATACAGTATTATCCACATATAGGCCCCTCATTGAAGAACTATATCCCAAATTCTGCAATGGTTTTCAAGATCTGAGTTTAAAAAGCTTTGCTCTCTTCACTGTGCCTATCAATAGCTGGCTGGTTAAAATATAAAAATAATTTCAGGGTGACAAAAATCAGTTCTTGTATATCATTTCTATTCACAGCATATTTTTCTGCATGGATGGGGCCCTAGTGAAACTCCTCCCATAGTGAAGGAGAATTAAAATTCCTGAAATCTTTCAATAAATCACAATATGACAATTGCAGTTCTACCTTCACTTACAGTGAAGTTATTCTGTGAAAAGAATGGCTTCATTATAAGAGGGCTCAATGTAGTTTAAATTTATTTAAAATAATTAGAGTCAGCAGACAGAATTTGCTTGTTATTCTGCAATTAACCTGCCAGCAAAATGTTTCCTTCTTCTTTCTCAGAAGCTAGTTGATAGAGCTATAAGAATAACCATGTCTGTCCTGATTTAAATATGATTTAAAAAGAGTAATATACCAAATGGTGAAAAGATTTTTACCTGACAGGTTTTAAAGAATGATAATTTCTTACTCTGAACTATTATATATAAACACTCCCCCTTGAATGCCTGTAATGGCACAAAGTGACATTGTATCGGAAAATAATTTTAAAGTACATATTTAAATTCTTTATCAATTTCAATCTTTCAACAGAAAGAAAAAATGTAATAAAAGCCAAACCATGCAATAACAACAGATGTTGAGAGCTATATGATTTAGAACATGTGTACAGGAATGTAATTTTGTTTTCATATTTCAGGCAATGGACAGTTTTATTCAATATTACTTATGGAAAACATTCTATGTAGATATATATTAACCTCATAAGAAACAAAGACAAAAAAATATATTAAAATATGAACATATTTCCTTGGGAAATATATTGCAAGAAAGTGTGAAAAAATAGAAACAGAATGAAAAGTTTTACTGAAATAATTCCGTATTAGTAAGTGCCTCTAGCATGGCACAGTGCACAATGCTTACATAAATAAAATATGAAAAAGGGTCAGCATTTCCCCTTCGCTCACCTAAAACCCCACAATTTTATTGAACAATAGACCTTTCAGTGTCTCCCAGAAAGTCCACAAAATTTACTATTTCAGGTAATTTCTTCCAGCACAGCAAATTACACCCACCCAACTAGCCTGTGAACATAGGCCAGCTTCTCGGCTAGTATAAATTAGCATAACTCCATTGACTTCAACAGAACTATGCTAATTTATATGTGCTGAGGATCTGGCTCAGGTTAATTTACATCAGACGGGAATATCTGTAATTATATGGGATCAAATCCTGCACTGTTACTGCTTTGTACAAGTTAACATAGCCAGGCACAGAGGGTTCAGACAGGTGTAGGGAGATGGACTGATAATATAGTGCCAGTGTGGTGACTCCTACAACACCTCCAGCCATTGTTAGCATAGCAAATGCAACAGGGCTGGAGAATCCACATGGTTCAACTAGATTAGAAATATGGCAAAAATAGTTTGCCCTTGTCTAATTTCATATAACAAACTGCAATGAGTAAAATCATCTTTATGAGTAAAGGATATGGACTGGACAAAGGAGGCCGACAGAATTGCCAAGTCTTGCAAGGTGTGTGTGTGTGGCGGGGCAGAGCCTCAGTCAGAAGGGGTGGGGCTGAAGCAGCCAGCCCTCAGCACCTCCCAGAGCATACCACGCCACCCCCTCCCCAGACCTTAGAGTCACCTGGAACATGCCATGCAGCACTCCAACAGCAATTTAAAGGGCCTGGAGCAAGTGGCTGGGAGCCCCAGGTCCTTTTGAATCACCAGACCCTGGGGTAACTGCCCCCCCATCAGCATCAATATCCCAGGATATTGTTATTGTTTTATCTCAACGTTGCCAGTCTAGATCCAGTTCCCTGATTAAAATGATAGCTGGCTGTTGTCTTGAATGAAATGAACAGATCAGATTGAAAATGGAAAGTAAATCACACACTTGTGAAAAACTGCAAAAGTGTTAAGTGATGTTCTTCATTGCACAAGGTGTGAAATAACCAGGATAACAAGCCCATGCTCTGCATGCCCTCCCTGTTTCCAGGAGTAATGCATCAGGGAATTAGTTCTATCCTGTGGCTTGGCCAAGCTGCAGGGCATCTATAAGTTTCAGATCTTTCATACAAGGCCAGGAAAGCAACAGCTAGGGTCCTGACTGGCAATCATTCAGGGCCACAATTAGTTCAGCTGCCCAGAGCCCTCAATCAGGGCAGGGCAGCCAGTAGTTTGTAGCTCTAGTCTGAGTCCATACAAAGCATTACAGCTGTTTGGGGAGCAGGAGGGAGAAATCAGCTCTCAGGTAGTCAAAACTCCAGACGGTACCAATACAGACTTCCTACCTTAGCGGGAGGCAGAGCCCTATCATTGGCAGGGCAGTCTGTCACCGGTTCAGCGGCTTACCATAACATGCTGGCTAGTTTACAAATGAGTCCCACAGCTGAAACCTATTGGTTTCACAGCTTCCTTGGGCTTCTGCCTATCCTCCCAGTCCTGGTGTACCTCCTTCAAGTTGTCATCAGTCTCATTTGGGTAAACAGCCAGCAGAACTTTAAGGCTATGTCTATACTTGCAGCTTCTTGCGCAAGTATGGCCATTCTTGCGCAAGAATCTGCAGAGCGTCCACACTGCCTGCCCGCTCTTGCGCAAGGAAATTTACAGTATGGCGTGATAAGAGAGGGCTCCTTCCGTAAGAGTTATGCTCTTTTTTTTACAGGTGTAAGCCCTCTTGTGCAGGAGCTCTTGCACAAGAGGGCAGTGTGGATGCTCAGCAGGGATTTATTGCGCAAGAAAGCCCTATGGCTAAAATGGCCATCAGAGCTTTCTTGCACAAGAGAGAGTCCACATTGCCATGGGAGCTCTAGCGCAAAAGCACAGCACGCACATGGCAGTGTGGACATTTTCTTGCGCAAGACTTCTTGCACAAGAACCCTTGCGCAAGAAGCTGCTAGTGTAAACATAGCCTAACAGGGTTCAAAAAAGAGCTAAATAGATTCATGGAGGTTAGGTCAATGGCTATTAGCCAGGCTGGGTAGGAATGGCATCCCTAGCGTCTGTTTCTCTGGAGGTGAGTGACAGGGGAGGGATCACGTGAGGATTCCCTGCTGTGACCCCTCCCTCTGGGGCATCTGGTATTGGCCACTGTCGGCAGACAGGATACTGGGCTAGATGGACCTTTGGTCTGAGCCAGTATGGCTGTTCTTATGTTCTTAGCAGTCCTACCAACTTACCAGGATTCCCAGGGTCTAACAACTTAGGCAGTTCTTCTGGGTCTGTGGCACAGTGGGAGCCTCCCTCAGCTCCAAGCTGCAGCAGTAGGGGAGAAACATTTGACAGCTCTCCCTCAACTGAATTAGAGGGTCAGTTTTTTATAGTTCCAGTTCCTGCCCTACCCCTCTGCTTCCAGTGAGGCAGCCATAGCTATCCCGGTTCTGCACACCAG